CCACCCCCACCCCGACACACACACACACACACATCAATAAAGGAGAGGAAAGAGCAGAATATTTGTTTTCCTCACCCTCCATCCGGTCTACGTATTTGTGGAGTGTCACTAGCGGGAAATACAGCAGGCCGGCCTGCATGGGGACAACATCCAGAACGGTGTGGTGTTTGCCTTCCTTCATGGTGAACACACCTGAGGGTGGGGAGGAGAACAAACAAATACACATGTACAGTACATCATGGCATTGGTTGTCTCCTGGTTTTTCTATTTATAGAGAACAAATGTTTCTATTGAATGTTTCTAGTTATTAATTCAAGTTTCAATTTTATTGTGACCGTTAGTGAGTTTATATTGCATTCTATATTTTTAGCTAATGCATTGCCAGGCTCACTGCATGACTATTTTTCTCATAGAAATGTTTAAAGGGCTACATATACATTATGCATGATACTATGTTATACGTACACACACGTCCATAAATTTTTAAGGTGTGATAAGTGAATAGGTGAGAGAAAATCTCTGCAGTAAGCTGACAAAACACCTTATTTTTCATTTTGGCGCCAAAATTGCTTATTTTGCTAAATTGTTTATTTTGCTAAATTGCTTATTTTGCTAAATCAAAAGCCTGATCAGTTTCCCTACTTGTGTGAAAAAAAATCTAAGTCCAACTGTGACTAGATTTTGAATGAATTAGAACTCAAATTTCGGAATCGCTCTATTTTTAAATGGTTATTATGCTGACAAAATTTTTTTTTCTCAAAACTGCTGTGAAGAAAAAAAAGGCGTTTTGTCAGCTTACGGCAGATCTGTTTCTATAGAGACATCAAGGAGTCCACAACTCACCAGTGGTCTTCCCTCCGATGGCCCACACACTGCCGTTGGCCTTGACAGAGTAGGCCAGCTTGGTGCCCTCTGTGAGGTCAAGGTCAATCAACTGTTTGATGGTGATGTCCATAATGGCCGTCTCCCCTGTCATGCAAGCTTTGTCCTCCTCAATGCTGGACACAGCGTACGACAAAATGTACTGGGTCTGTACAGGGAAAAAACAAAAGAATACACAGTGCACTTTTCAGTAACTGTACATAAAAGAGGAGTATGGAACATACCTGAAAGTGCTCTTTGTAATCATACCGAAGAGTGGTGTAAGTAACTGTACCTGAAAGTGTGCATGGAGTAAGCCTACTTGAAAGTCAGTGTGGAGTAAACATACCTGAAAGTGGTTTGTTACCGGAAAAAGCTGTTTGTAACCACACTGGAGAGCAGTGTCAATAACCATACCTGAAAGTGAGCATAGAGTAAGCCTACTTGACAGTCTGGAATAAAGTATGCATACCTGAAGTACTGTTCAGAACAGGAAAGTGTTGTTTGTAACTGGAAAGTGCTGTTTGTACCCATACTGGGGAGCAGTATCAGTAACCATAACTGAAAGAGCGCTTGGAGTAAGCGTACCTGAGATTTGTGTTCGGAGTAAGCATACCTGAAAGTGCGCTTGGAGTAAGCGTACCTGATATTTGTGTATGGAGAAAGCATACCTGAAAGTGTGCATGGAGTAAGCGTACCTGAGATTCATGTATGGAGTATGCGTACTTGAGATTCGTGCATTGAGTAAGTGTACCTGAGATTCGTGTATGGAGTAAGCGTACCTGAAAGTCGTGTATGGAGCAGGAGTAGTCAGCCTGCCTGGCCTGGGGGCTGAGGTCGACCTGGCTGGCGTAGCAGCAGGAGAAAGAAAGGTCAAGGGCAGGCAGCACTGGCACGTTGCTGCTCATCAGCCACAGGAGGGAGCTGCTCTGGTGCTCGTTTACTAGCTGGATGGAAGCAACAACAGATCACAACCTCTTTTAGTTTTAGTAAGAAACTGACAGCACTTGCAACATAAATCGGTTGTATTATAAGTGCTGCAGATCAGTGTTACTAGAGAGTAACATACAAAGAACAGAAGGAGTAGAGATAAGGACGACAGATGTTTGATAGGAAAGATGGAGCAAACCACACCAGAGCACCCGTCAACCACCCACGATCACAAACTGAGAGAAAAAAATGACATCACCACGTTATATAATAATAATAATAATAAATAGCATTTATACTGCGCATTTCCATTTCCTAAAAGATGCTCAATGCGCATTACAATGAAAAAGACATCACATCTTAAAAATTAATCGACCTAAATGTGTACGTAAAACAAAGTATTATACATATAATATAAATGCATATGTGTAAAATTTTATACCAGAAAAACAGTCTCGCAGTGAGGTTGAAAATGTGTTCACTAAAAATATACAATGCAATATAAATTCACGAACAGTCAAAATACAGTTGAAACGTGAGTAACTAGAAACATTCATTAAAACATTAATTCTATACAGATAGAAAAACATTTCCACTCTATCTCTCTCTCTCTCTCTCTCTCTGTCTGTCTGTCTCTCTCTCTCTCCCTCTCTCTCTCTGTCTGTCTGTCTCTCTCTCTCTCCCTCTCTCTCTCTCTCTCTCTCTCTATCTCTCTCTCTCTTTCTCTCTCCCTCTCTCGCTATCTCTCTCTTTTCTCTCTCTATCTCTCTCTTTTTCTCTCTCTCATTCTCACTCGCTATTTCTTCAGTCTCACAGTCTGGCATACACATGCATATATATCACAGTACATCATTATGACAGGTATGCTTTTGTGAATAAAAAATGCTTCAGCTGATTTTTGAAAATGGAAATTGTTGGGGCAGATCTTATTTTATATGGGATTTCGTTCCATACCTGGGGACCAAAGAACAAAAAGGAACGCTCGCCGTATGTTTTGTAGTTTTGTTTTGGAGTTTTAAGAATTAGATTGTCAGAGGCTGATATAGCCACTGTCATATAGGCCACTGAGTACATTGCTGGGCCCAGCCATTTTGTGCCCATTCTTTTTGAGGAGTAGCATTATAATCGTATCAACTGCTTTGCATAAGATCCATCATATTATTATGACATTGAGAAAAGTAACATATCACAGTCTTACACTAAGCAGTCGTTATGAAAAGGAATGCAAAGCATGGATTAAGGTCCAGAACTGCTCTCTACTTTCAAATAGGCTGTTTATCCAATGACAAAGATTTCTATCTATTGATCCATTGAAGACAATATTGGAAGATGGTTGCTGAGCTCAAGGTTCTCACCAAAAGCTGTCCAGGTTTATTCATCAACTGCAGTTCCACATCACGACAGTCTGGTGTGTCCAGCTTGGGTTGTGACAGGGTAAAACAGGTCGCTGTTGTTCCGTGCACGACAATCTGGAAATATTTTCTGTAAAGACACAAAACGCTATTGTGTCAAACAATAACAAATGACGAGTAACACCTCAGAATAAGGAACAAGCTTCTAGGCTCAAACACACACAGAAGTTCTTTGTTAGTTGGAAGAGCCAGAATGAGTCACACACACACTCACTCACACAAGACACATTCACCCATATCCCCCCCCCCCCCCCCCCCCCCCACCCCGACACACACCAACACACCCAACAGCTTATTGTGCAGACCAACAAGTCGCTACCTTAGAATTACAAAGTTTGAATCTGCTCAGTAGATCTACCTAGCTTTGAGAAATTTGCCGTAAAATATTTGAAGTTTCACAATATGTCAAGCTTTTTTAAAAAGTAATTCTATGAATATTTTGATAATGACTCCATATAATCTTACAATTTTGATATAGAGCAGCTAGAATATTTGGTTTCTGACCTCATGGTCTTAGTAACTCAAAACAGCCAAAAATGTCAGATTTAACTGTGTACATTTGAGGAAGAGAAGTATTCAACATACTGTTTGCCAGCTGTGTAGACTTTGTGCACGATGTTGAACGGATGAACAAAAGTCACTTCCTGCTCCAGCGTCTGCTGCAGGGCCTCCACCATCACACTCATCTGAAACAAGATTAACAAAGACAAATTAAGTTGCTGTCATAAATCTAAAAATGCTTGTACCATACTCAAACACCAGCATTAACAATACCCCCTCCCCCTACCCCCTAAAACACAGCAAGAAACCAACATTAGAACTAAATACCATCATACTTTAAAAAAGCATTGTTAAGAACAGCTTCAAACACAATATACAATACTGACCCTAAAAAGAGTTCTCAAATTAAAAACACTACATTATAATGAAATTTACAACATAATTAATTCAAAAAGCTACATTATTGACACTGCCAGTTAATGACAAGCAGAACAAAAACTATCACTCACTCGGCTCATTTGAGTTTCCAACGCATCAAACTTGAGGTTCATGCACACGTTGACGGGGATCTCCAAGCTCTCGTATGCTCCGACTGACCCCACCATGATCCCCTTGTCCCCATCTCCCCCCTCCTCGGAAGACGTGATGCTGAAGTACGGGGTCGTTGTCACAGACAAAGCGCTTGCCTCGGTCAGGCCATGACTGCCACAAGTGAACTTCAGAACTGCCTCTTGCTCAATACCCGCAATAAATTTGTCTGTGAAATAAAACAACAATAAAAAATGAGTCCTTTCTCTGATGACTAAATATTGTTTGGAACTAGTAGAATTGTTGCTAAAAACTCACAGGAATTTACGCTATAAAGAAAAATTAAGCTAATTAAATAGATAAGTATGTGTACTGATGTTGACTTTTGTAAGACGATAATGTTTTCGAACAAAGAAAATAAGATATGCTTCATAAACAAAAAACTGAAGACAAAAAACATGATTGTGCAGTTCTAAATCTCCATCAATTCTCAGGGACTCGAGTTTTATTTGGACTGGCTACAGAGTGAATGTAAACAAAGCTATCACACAATAGTTTTGTACAAACTAAGTCAGCATATACCATTCATACGTATAAAAAAAAAAGACAGTGACTTGATTCCCATTAACACAACGTTTTGAGTAGACGAAAAGCATCTCACTCTACCCCTCCAGGCACTCAAAGCCAAATATATGCATACACACACAGAATCTCATACCCCCCCCCCTCCCAAATCTTTCTGCTTACACACACACAAACACATGCACATGTAAACTGAAAACTACCTCACCCCATCCTCCTACACAAATACATGCATGTGCACACAGAAACTCACTCCACCCCATCTTCCCTCAAACACACATAAACACATGCATATGCATAGAAAAACCTATCCTTTACTATCCTACTGCACACACACAAACATATGTGAGGCATTGTGGTAACATCAGGTGCTCGTCAAAATAACAAATTCAGAAAAACAGACATTTTTCAGTCAGTTTGGCAATTTTGGTTGAATTTTTGTTTTTTGGCTCGTCTTTTATGTCCATATAAAAACACATTTCCGAGTGAGGTATACTGAAACACGTTGATTAAAGGCAAAAAAATGTGTAAATTTTCTGTTTTCAAGGACTCTCAAGCTTTGGAAGTCGCCAGACTTTGGCGGCCATTTTCTCTTTAATTTTACCTATGAAACCAGGTGACCCCCACCTACTTCAATCCAAAATATCTCAACTTCTATTTAAGATAGAAGGGTAATTTTTTCATCAAAAGCAAGACAAGTGAATAAGTATTGAGATGAAACCAATAACTCCATATGTGCCAAAATTGATGAGTGCCTGTTTCCACTGAGTCGTAACACATATGTATATGCACACATATAAGCCTATCTCCCCTCATATAAACACATGCATTCCCACACAGAAACTACCATCCTTGAGATTTTGATAAACAATAATTCTATACAAGTCAAAGTCACAATAAAAGGGAACCGCTTCTGAAGATATGGACATTTCACACCATGGTACTGAGCCCAGGGGGAGCAGGATTAGCAACAACAACTGAAACAGAAAGAAAATCAAACCAAACTACATCGAAACGAGCACAGAACTTCGCTGGGCACCCAAAGTGAAAAAAAGAGAAAAGAAAGAAAGTTCATCCTAAAGAGAGAGGAAGAAAGATAGAGCGAGAGAAAAAGAAAGATTGTTTCATCAAAAAGAAAGAGTAGAAAAAAAAATAGTTTATCAAAAAGAGAGAGGAAGAAAGATACTTCATAAAAGAAAGAAAGAAAAAGAGATAGTGTTCATCAAAGAGGGACAGAGTGAAGAAAACAGAAAATTCACCAAAAAGAGAAGAAAAAGAAACATCTTTTGTTTCCAACCTGTGTGCTTCGGAGTCACGGTAAACGTTGAGGGAATACTGTCTACTCTGAAAACTGTCGCGAAGTCTGAAAGAGGTTTGAGGAGGTCCAGTGACTTGACCGACAGACACATCTGGTTCAGGCGGTAGACACCCTGTGCTGCTATCTGACGGTGAAAAAAGTAGAAAATTTAGCATCGTGAATTGCTAATTGACTGCCATGATACTCACATTTTGGCCTGTAACAGATTAGCGAAAGAGTAATGCTGAGGAGAAAAAGGACAGTCCGGCAACACCAAAGTAATTGTACCTGTAAAGGTTTTACACTCCCATCAAAGCAATTTAAATCATTTAGCAAGCGGTGTGCATCAACCCTGCCAGTCAGCTGAGTCAGGATCGACCAAGCCGAAGCGGGATACAATAATACAATATCTCCAGAGAAATATGGAGATATTTGATTTGAAAAAAAACCAACTTCCCCACTCCAGAAGTGTCACATCTAAGTGTGTAACATACCATGAGCCACAAAACCACAGTTGGAGTAGGCTGCAAGAGAAACAAATTATCCCAATATTCACCTTGCAGAGCCAAGTAAAGGAAACATGGCAGACAGAAAAAAAAGGTCAAGAGGAGAAAGAAGAGTGATATCTAATGGTAATGCCCTCCAAACCCAGCATTTTATGTGAAAAACAAAGTAAAAATTACAAAAACACCATTTTACTTTTCTTATTGGGTTTCATCAATTGCAAGTATAAATAGATACCTAGGTGGGGAGCGCAGGTTTAGTCCTGTCATCTCTATAAACTACAACTTTATAATTAAGTAAACCAAACTGAATAAATAAACTTTACACCCAAGTACACCATTTTCGATGTGAAAAACTTCACAGCCAAGTATGGCCAACCAAAAAATTTATAAAGCATTTCTATAGAGTATATCCCCACTCAACAGCTAGCGTTATGCGCTTTACAATCTACATTATTACCCAAGTACGGCCAATTAAATAAACAACTTTACACCTAAGTAAATCCAATTAAGTAAAGAAACTTCTCACCCAAGTACACCAACTCTGGTTAATAACTTCAAGACCGACATAATTCCCCACAACAACTTTGTCTCCTCACCTTTGCTGCAAAAGTCAGGTTGTTACGTCCAGGTTCCAGCAGAACGTTTTCTGTGAGAAAGCACAGAGAGTAGTCGTCCCTGACAACATTCTTGGTAGAGGACCCGGTGGAAGTTGCGCTGTCAGTCCTTTTCAACAACTCCCGGGCGTGTTCACAGCCCAGACCAGTGGCGATCAGTCGACCCTGGCGTCTCTCATATGTCTTTTGGAATGCGATCGTATCCGGAAGTTGTTTTGTCGCTGGCTGGAAGTTGAGAAGAAAGACAAATTTTTTAAAAACAACCCAAAACAAGCTCTGAAAACTCTTTGCATAGACAGGATGATATAAAAATCTCAACCTACCATAGAAAATGACATGAGCAAACCATTACAAATAATTCTCACATTCTATTTATCACAGTATCGTCAGGGTCATAACACATTTGTCAAAGTCATTTTTTGATAATTAGGAAAACTTGTTAAAACAGTGCATACCAAAGTAAACCTTATGATTTGAACAAAAGTGAGAATGTCTCAACATTTGGAATTTAAGAACACAGAACAAAATTGTACTTCATCGAGAATGTAAAACAAGTAACAGGCATTCTTACCATACCAATAACTAGGAACCAGAAAATAATGATACGAGTAATTGTGTTATGACAGTGAAGACAGTAGTAAGACAGAAATTTCATAGAAAAACAAGAAAACAAAGTATTCCATCAGTTGGAACAGTGGTAGAATGACAGTCTTCATACAAAAGAGCATACAATAATACCAAAAATAACTGAGTAGAGTTCCCACAGAGCCTCCCTGTTTTTCTTCAGTTTTTTTTGTCTACTCTTCTCATCTTTTTTTCTCATTCTTCCAATACTGATAACTCTTTATATTTATACAGGAAAACCTAAATATCTCAGCTTGTCACAGAAAACAAAATAGACAGACCTCTATTAATCACAATATAAAAAAAAAACACATACGAAATCCAAACAATGCTCCTAAAGAGAACTAACCGAGAAGTTAGCCATTTTGTCGAGAGTGATGTGTGTGGCGCTGGGCTGACGTCTGTGGTGTTTCTGAGGGGCGGCAGGTGGTGGCTGGCTATCCTCTGCTTGCTGTTTGCGCGTCTGTTTTTGCTGCAGCTGACGCTGGTCAAACATTACAGCTTCGTTTTCAGAACAAGCCACAATCGACACCTGCAGACAGAAGACAAACTTGGTGATTGCGTTGTATAAAAAAACCCAGATAATGATATAGATTTTTAGAGTTCTTTCAGGACTCATTAGGCCCTGTAGCACAGGAATTTGTCCTGGTGTTTGTTCCTGAGATTTTTAGTTTGCACACAGAATGCAATAGGCCCTTATAGACTTCCAGGTCAAATTTGATGAAGAAAAGCAGAGCACCGGCCAACATCATTTCCAGACGCGATTCAACATGATCATGCAGACTGGATCCATCTTTAGTTTAGTTTTAACAAGAGTTTTGCGACACTTGTAACACAGATATGATATATAAGGCTGAAGATTAGAGGTTAGTTAAGTTTAAGTTAAGAGTTTTATGGCACTTGCAACACAATTAGGTCATATAAGTGCTCAAGATTAGAAATGTTTCTAGAGAGTAATATACAAAGAAAAGAAGGAGAAGAGATAAGGACGATAGATGTTTGATAGAAAAGAAGAAAACAAACCACACTAGAGCACCCACCAACTACCCACCGGGCCCATCTGACTCATGGGCATTCATTGTTACCTTGAGGGAGTCCATGGAGATTGGTCGAGGGAAGTTACTGACCACACAGACACGGAGAGACAGCTCCTCATTCAGGCTGGCCTGCTCGGGCTGAAGCTCCAGACTCTCCATAAAGATCACCTGAGACGCTCGCATCTCCACACGCTCATCTGTCACAGGACACACAAGTGAAAGCACAATGTGGTTATGTCTGCTTTAGTAGAGGTTTTACGACGCTCGCAACTGCATAAGGTCATATGAGCGCCAGAAGATTAGAGGTGTTACAAGAGAGTAACAAACATAAAAAAGAAGGAGGGGAGATAAAGACGATAGATATTTGATAGGAAAGAAGAAGCAAACCACACCAGAGCACCCGCCAACTACCCACTCAATGTGGTTATTTCCTCCACAAATAAGTATACAGTCAATAAGAAAAAATATATCTTTATCGTCCAGATCCTGGCACATTGGTTTGGTGTTTCACCACGTACACACACATACACACACACACACGCACACACACAAACATGCACACACACGCAGGCTTACAGTCACATGCATAATATAAAATGAACAGTAATACAAACAAAAATAATGCTGAGACAATATTATGATTTAATTTCCACACACTCAACAGACACATGACATATATGTGGCGTTGGTGGCCTAGTGGTTAGGCTCTCGGACTCGCAACCGAGTTGCGAGTTCGAATCCTGTCAGGGGCCCGACGTTGTGTCCTTGGGAAAGGCACTTTACATGAATTTTCCTCACTTCACCCAGGTGGGAATGGGTACCCGGCTATAGACAGCGAAAGATCTTGTCAGTTTGTTAGTGTTTGAGCGCTTAATCAGCTGCTCGCACTGTATGCTTCCTGGGAAGCTGAGAATGTTTCGGAGTGTTCTATGGTCTGCTGGGGTAATAATATAGTGTAAAGCGCATAGAGCCTGCTGTTGAGCGGGGATATGCGCTATACAAATGCTATTTATTATTATTATATAAGTATACACTACTTTAGACCTGCCACTCTATGAAATCTAAAAATCAGGATCTCAGAGAGAAAACAGCGGGATTTCGTGAAAAAAATTGAGATCAATGACAAATTACCAAGGTGACAGTCAAGCTGACTTAAAAATGTTCCTGGGGTGTTCATACATCCATGTATAGACCTGTATAATATGCCCTGTGTGTGTGTGTGTGTGTGTGTGTGTGTGTGCGTGTGCGTGTGCGTGTGTATATGTGTGTGTGTGTGTGTGTGTGTGCGTGCGTGCGCATGTGTGTTATCAATATTTTTTAAAATCCTGAAGTATCACGCCAAGCACTCCTAGTCCAAGTATCTACATTCCCCCCCCCCCCCCCAATAAGTCCAGAAAGACACTTCAACCAGTGTGCATGAACTTAAGTTGACCCCGTCAATGGTACAGACAGTCCCCAACACACGCAGAACTCACACACCGAAGTCATGTCACATGATGCGAACGCGCGATTGAAACAGTTTCACTAACAGGTTTTGATGATGGGCCAGACTAACCAAAACTCGAACAAAGTACAGCTTGTTTTGAAAGTAACAGCAGAACTCCTAATAATATTGATCACTTGTATATATTCGCAATTGAAACAGTTATCAGGCCATAATCGGAGAATTCTGAGTGGGAACAAAAGCAAAAGTAGATCTTGAGAAAGTCCCAAGTCGGAATATCAAATCGATACTACTTCCATTAGGCCTATAGCTGAAATAACACACGTTAGAAAAGATCCAACACAACTTGGAGTGAATCAACAACTAAATCCGGCATCACTATTTTGCAAAATAATAGTGCTCGGGTTCCTGCTGACAAAAAGTTTAACAGGTGCTTCCTGCGACACAAAATAAGGCAGAGTAAATTTTAGAAAAATCCGGCGCAACAGAAGGAAATAATTTTTTTAAATTGGGATATGCGCGATCCAAATCAGGAAAATCGGGATGCTTGAAATTTGGGGAAACAAATCTGGATATCCCGATTAAATCGGGATGAGTGGCAGGTCTGACACATGACATACAAATATACAGACAACGCGTTTATTTCCATACACTCACCTGACACATGATGCACAAGTATACAGAAAATTGATATATTTTTAGAGCGCCTCACTAGTAGGTGTTTTTATACCCCCATCGACACAATTTAGATTATTTGATAGGCAAGCCTCCTACCTTGCCTGTCAGGGCCAACCCAGGCTGAAAGGGATACAAAATCCCAGTAGAAAAATACTTGAAAAAAATTCTCCCCACTCGGGAATACAACTTGGGTCGTCGGTATGCCACAACAAAGCGCCTTGCTCCACATACGCCAGTCTTAGTGAGTAAAGTGTCCATTTCATTAGAGTAAAAAGACGCATCGAGACACTTATGGTTATTTAGTACTTGGAAAAGCAAGAGAGATGGACAGAAACAACAGTGAAGAATAAGAAGTAGGACCTACCAGAAGAGGTCCTCCAAACACATATCTGCAACTGGTGGGACTACATAAACTCCTGATGTTGATGAGAACATATGACTCACACATAGCACTAGTGATAACGCTTTATCTATTGAGACACTAGAAAGCTATGTTTGAGTGCTGTTTTAGCCTCTTTCTTTTCTGTCTTTCAATTCATTTTTCCTTCCATATCCGTGTATCCTGGATCTAAAATTTTCACACCAGGAATTCTTTAACCATGGAACTGTAATCAACCCCCCTCCCCCCCCCCACACACCCCACATGTCTTCCAAAATTAATACCCCCCAAAAAAGAAAGAAAGAAAAAAAAATTCAAGGGATCCGTATAGACAGATGTAGATTGTGAAGTGAAGACCATTGTGAGAGATGAATTACACACCAGATGATACAGAGTCCAAGGTTTTCACAGTCTCCTCAAAATATTTCTCCTTCTCTGCCATCGTGATGTGCGGGCTGCAGGCAATGTGGCAACACGTCTTCAAGTATCTGGAGGCAACATTCACATAAATCATGATCAATCCTCTCACTGCTTTGTCTGATGAAAAAAATGTTTTCGCACAAATCATTGAGCCTGAGAATATTTCTGTCGAACTTTTTGGGCTTTTTTTCCCCAAGGTAGTAACAATGGGTTTTAAGTTCTCATATTATAATGGGAGGACAAGAAAAGTCTGAACAACAAATGTATAATTAGAGTGTTACTTACACTCAACAAAAACAAATCCAAGTTTAAAACACCACTTTAAATAAACACTTTGGTAACGCATGACATTTTTCAATAGCGAATGCTTGATGGATATTGTTATTTTGTTTTGTTGTAGTCATATGTTTGAAAAACCGCTCTGCCCGTCTTTCCCAAGGCCCGCTCATGTTTGGTAATACATGACATATTTCACTAACGTATGCTCTTTTCAAAGTCTACATGATCCATTCAATCACATGAGAAGTCAGTCAGTTGTTTCAGAACATGTTCACTTGAACCTACGCCATGCAAGCCAATGGCATCTATGAAAACTTTGCTGACCTTGTTTTGGCAATATTGAAAAATAATTTTCAAAGAAAACCAAGATTTTATTTCCTGTATAAATTTGTTTTGGCGTCATCACTATCATTTTAAAAAGTTGACCAACTTCACTCTTTACCCTTGTAATGCAGTCCTTAGTAATAGAGTCCGAGTCTAGGGTCGAAAACACAATGCATCTACTCTCTGACCCCATCGATGTCCACATGCAATAATATAAAAGTGATGAACCTGGTACATCAAAGCAAACAACCCTATAAAATTGTGTACTTTCATCAGCCTTCGTTACATATAACATACTTGAGTCACGATGTGGTGGAATCAGGCCTACATCAATTTTTGGACATATGGAGTTAATGGTATAATCTTAGCCTGTTCTTTTGCCTTGCTTTTGATGAAAAATTACCCATGTACCTCGACGAGAAGTCGAGATATTTGCAATTGAAGGAGGTGGGGGTAACTTGGTGTAAGAGGTAATATTAGCGAGAAAATGTTTGCCAAAGATTGGTGATTTTCAAAACTTCAGTGTCCCTTGAAACTGCAAATTTTTTTTTTCTGCCTTTGACCAAAGTTTTCAGTAAACCCACACCGAATTATTTTGAAATAAATATAAATTATATAAAGGGTAAAGGCCCAAATTTTTTTAAATCAATGAAAATAGACCCATAGGCAGAAAAATGTCAGTTTCTTCAATTTTATTTTTTTGACAAGGGCCTGATTCCACCATAAAGCAACACATTTGGTTCCTTCTGTATTTTGGTCACTTTGACAGAGGTTAACAACTCACTTATTAGGTTCCTTCAGTAACTCCTGACATTTAGCTAGCTTGACCATTGTTCCATCTGCTAGGTAGTGCCATCCCTCCTGTTGGTGCATGCAGATAGACTCCAGCAGGAAATTCTCTGCTTTTGCAGGCTCTTTGATTTTCCTGAAAAGGAAAAAATTATCAAATGAGAATGAGAGCAAGAGTTGCAACAAAAATTTCAAATGACTGATTTATTGATAGTAAATGATCTACATCCTTGTTGAAACAATTTGGATGATTACGGAGATAGGCTGCTTTGACCCTCCCACTTAGGAGGGGAGCCTGAGAAAGATACAACTTCTCATAAGACAAGACGAAGATACAGTCAAACCTACTAAAATGACAACCTGCATAAGACAATCACCTGTGCAAACTGAAAAGAACCTCCCTTGCATATTTTTAAACATTAGAATGACACTGTGTAAGATCCCCAACTGTCTAATATAGCCACTTTTCTCCTTGACAATGGGTGGGTGTCTTAGACATTCGACACTTGAAAACTTACATGTAAAACTCTGCAAGTTCCAAGCCAATCATCCTGGCAGAGCGATACCTTCCAATGTACTTGTATGTACCCATGGCCTGCTCACACATTTCCTGAAAAGATAGTTCACATTGTGAGGGATTGGAAAAGAGACTAAAGGACATTTTATCTGTTTGTTTGTTTGACTAAAGAGAAGCACATCGACTCAGTTATGGTCATTTAGTGCAGGGAAACAGAAAGACAGAAATAACAGTGGAAAAGAATAAAACTAGGACCTACCAGTGGCTCCCTCCAATCTTCCGCTAAAGACATAAAAATAAAGATCGAGCCATACAAATGCAAGCAGTTAAGGACAACATCGGAGTAACCCAAGAAGGAGTTCTTGTCAGCTGCTGCCATCACTTCCCTACTTGCGTCTGTAGTGCAATGGATAGACTTTTCAATGTTACATGCTGCAGATGTGGGTTCCATTCCCTTATGGGGAGGTTTTATATGGAGTGTCTCCGTCTATCTGTCTGTTGGGATGTTGTGTCCAACTCAGTTTGGCTTGACCCTGACAGGTAGGGTTGAAGTAGTCAACATTATTTTAGTAAAAACAGACACATAGACACAATAACGGTCATTTGGTCGCTTTTAAGCACAAGGGGGTTATCCCGAAAAATGCTGCTTTGAGAAAATTAAATGTAAAGCTTTTGCCCCTTGTTCAGTTTCTTTAAAAGACAAGGAGAGTTTTCTCTTTAACCAAACAAACATACACACCAATTAAACCAAACATCTCCTAAAGGTAGGGCAATGCCTACTTTTTGTGTAGGTCGAGATTTTTGGGGCCCCGAAATCTGGGTTAGCCCGCTTGTCCTTAAAAGCCACCATTTAGTACTAAGAAAAAAGTAAGACGGTCAGATAGACAGACGACAAACAAAAACAACCGAGGGAAATAAAAGAGGTAGGAGCTGCCAGAGCCACACTTCAACCACCCACAAGAACAGATTAAGTCAATGGTTACACAGAAAAAGAAAAGGTAGGAGCAGACCACAGGCTTGGGCCCACAAGCCATCAACAACTTACCAGATAATGTCTTTTAAATGACTCGGGTGAGGAGAGGGAAGCTCTCAGCTTGTCAACTGGCTTCTTGTCAGACGGAGCTACAAGAGAAAAGAAACATTTTGGTGTGTAAGAAAAAGGTTTAGTAAGACTTTTATGGCACTTGCAACACAATTAGGTCATATAAGAGCTAAAGATTAAAGGTGTTATAAGAGAGCACCATACGCAAAAAAAAGAAAGAGGAGAAAGAAGGACAATAGACGTTAGATAGGAAAGAAGGACCAAACCATACCAGACAGAGCACTCACAAACCACCTATGTGTAAGAGAAAGTGACAGGTAAGTCATCATACAGGTACATACATAAAGTTCCAGCTTAGTCAGCATACACATTCATAAACTGTGTACCAACTTTATAATCATGCAACTTCAAAATGAATGGGAATTTCTCAAATTATGTGCAAATGCAATAGGTCCAAAAATCAATTCACATTGAGATCGAGCTATTTGAGATCAAATATTTCCACAACCGCTCAACACACACACACACACACACACACATTCATATGCACAAACACACACACACACACACACACACACACAGACATACAAACTGCAATGTACAAAGTCCTGGAAGAGATTCCCAAGCCAGACACACATACAGACACAAACAAACACGCTTAAAGACACACAAACAACACACATTCAAAGACACACAATCTACAACATACAGAAAAGTTTAGCAACATATATATATACACACAAACAACAAAGTACATACACACACACAGACACACAAACAAAAGTATTGGCAACACATATACACACAAACAACAATTTAGTTTTAGTAAGAGTTTTACCGCACCGGACCATCAATGATTTATTTATAGAGGCACCAGCCATCCATGTCCAGGTGCTGTTTTAGCCAGTTTTACCGCACTTGCAACACAATAAGGTCGTATGAACCCCAGAAGATTAGAGCTGGTGTTACAAGAGAGTAACAAATATAAAAAAGAAGAAGGGGAGATAAGGACGATAGATGTTTGATAGGAAAGAAGGAGCAAACCACACCAGAGCACCCGCCAACCACCCGCCAAAAAGTTTGGCAACAAATATACACACAAACTACAATGTACACACACAGACACAGACACACAAATAAACACACATGCACAGGCACACATACACAAACACAGACAAACAAAACACAATTTGCACATAAAGTTTCAGCTGTTTTGGCATCACATACACACACAAACTATAATGCACACACACATGAACATAGACATAGACACACAACAAACACACATGCACAGACACACATACACAAACACAGAAAAACAAAACTTAACTTACACAGCCTCAGCTCAGTTTTGGTATTGCAAATACACACAAACTATAATGTACACAAACATAGACATAGATACAAACAAACACATATGTGCACACACACACATACACAAACATAGACAACCCAACAAAACTTACACGCTGTTTTAGCTCTGATCTGGCTACATACAAACACACTGTACACACACACAGACACACAAATAAAAACACATTTACATACACAAACACACACAAACAAAACACAACTCACACAAAGTCTCCGCTGTAATGCCCATGCCCGACACCAGATCCACCACCAAACTCAGCTGATCAGACGTCGGCACCAGACCAGGCATCAGACTACACAGATGACCTAGTTCTCGAAGCTACGAGAGAAGGAAAAACAGACATGTCAAATATGTGTGTCGTCACGGCTCCAAAAGAGCTATGAGGAAAGGAGAGAGTGAAAGAGAAAGTTGTCTTCACACCTTCTTATGAGCAAAATCCCATAGGTTGGCTGTGCAAAGAGCAAACTTTTCATCCAGCTGTGTGCCGTGGTGCAGCTCGCAGGCGTTGAGAACCTCTAGACAGCTGAGAAACACCCAACAGGACAATGCCCCGTCTGGTATCTGGACCTGTAGGGACAGCAACGAAATCTTAACTCAAAAATTTAAAATTAATAAAGCAATCCAAACCTTTAAACTACAAAAAACATGAACACAAAACACACACCTAACAAACTCTTCACTTGTACCGAAACCTTCAGCACAACAAGAAAAACATAAGACATCAAACCTTAATCAAAACAAAATCTTTGTCCAAACAAACCTAAATCTATACAAAACTTAAAACATAAAAGTACATTTCAACAAAGCCTTAACTAAACCGAACTGTTACCTTTACACATGATCTCTTTTTTGTTTTAGTAGAGGTTTTACGGCGCTTGCAACTGCATAAGATCATATGAATGCCAGAAGATTAGAGGTGTTACAAGAGAGCAACAAACATAAAAAAGAAGAAGGGGAGATAAAGGCGATAGATGTTTGATAGGAAAGAAGAAGCAAATCACACCAGAGCACCCGCCAACCACCCACACATGATCTCTGCCACTACAACTTAAAAAGAACAAGAAGAATACTAACAACAATTTTTAAAAAAATACTACCACTACCAATGGCAACAGCACCAGCTACAAGACAAACTCAAATCTCTATGGCCTTCATCTCCACTACTGTGTGGCCCCCTCCTGCCACCATAACCAACAACAAAAACAACAAACAATGACACCCCGCTCCCCTCCAATTGCTTCATCTTAACACTGAGAGGTAAATATAGCTGAGAGCACAGGAGGCCACCTCCCACGCCACCTCCCACAACCACAAACACCACGACCACCAAGAGGCTACTTCCCACTATCACCACCAGTATCATCAACAACAACAACAACAATAACAACTACAAGAACAACAACAACACCATCAACTCTACTCACCTCCAACAATGGCTTCATCTTAACACTGAGAGGTAAATGTAGCTGAGAGCACAGGAGGCCACCTCCCACAACCACAAACACCACGACCACCAAGAGGCTACTTCCCACTATCACCACCAGTATCATCAACAACAACAACAACAATTACAACTACAAGAACAACAACAACACCATCAACTCTACTCACCTCCAACAATGGCTTCATCTTAACACTGAGAGGTAAATGTAGCTGAGAGCACAGGAGGCCACCTCCCACAACCACAAACACCACGACCACCAAGAGGCTACTTCCCACTATCACCACCATTATCAACAACAACAACAACAATAACAACTACAAGAACAACAACAACACCATCAACTCTACTCACCTCCAACAATGGCTTCATCTCACCACTATCTGGTAAATGTAGCTGAGAGCACTGGCAGCCACCTCCAACAACTACTAACACCACCACCACCATCGACAACAACGCCACCACCACCATCACCTTTTTAGTTTTAGTAGAGGTTTTACGGCACTTGCAACTGCATACGGTCATATGAGCGCCAGAAGATTAGAGGTGTAACAAGAGAGTAACAAACATAAAAAAGAAGAAGGGGAGATAAGGACGATAGATGTTTGATAGGAAAGAAGAAGCAAACTACACCAGAGCACCCGCCAACCACCCACCCACCATCACCACCAAGAAGCCACTTCTCACAACCACCATAATCAAAAACAACAACAATAACACAAACAACCCCCCACTTAGCTTCGATGCCTTCATCTTCGTCACTATGAGGTAGAGACAGCTGAGAGCCGAGGAGGGTG